AAAAAAAGAAAGAGATCCTCTTGTAATGAAGCTATATTCTGTTGATGATAAACTATCCATACATTATATGAAAGATCATACTATGATCTAATAATATATTCATAAGAAGTTAAGTCTGGTAGTTTTCATCTGTCCTTAACAGTATAAGGTAACGGTCCAGCTTTAGGCAAAGTTGTGAAGATTGACAAAGTTTTTCTTGGTATCTTTAACTGCCTTTCTTTGTTCAGACTTTCTTTCTTCTAACTTTGTACCCCCAAAAGGCCTTCAACTCTTTGTTCCTAGATATGGCTTACGAAAAGATAAAGACTATCTAAGGCTAAGAGTCTAAATCTGAAGTCTTGAGACTGAGAGAAGTCTGGACATGGATCTTTCCATGATCCCATTGTCTCAGGTGAGGCATACTTGGGAATCAAGGAGAAATCCAAAAGTTAGAGAGGAAAGGTCTGCCAGGCAACGTTCGAGTGTGGGGCTAAAACTGGTGGGAACATAAGCAAGAATCACATGTCAACAGGAAAATGGGATAATTTCACACTTAGTCTATAAAAGGTAAGCTTTCACAATAGCTTGCTTTGGGGAGGTGAACTAGCAGAACTCATTTTCTCTTCTATCACTGCTGATAGGATTCCATGGCCATCACCCATATAATCTTCAGTATCTTTGTACCGCTCTTGGATTATCCAGTTTTTTGGTTTTTTTTTTTACTACTGATACAGGGAGAAAAACTGATCTGTGGTGGGTGACCTCCAAACGATATAGGGAACATCCAAATGACATATGGAAAACACGATCTTCCAACCTGAGCTGTGCGAGTTTGTGTTCTCTAAAATTCAAGAATGAATTTTAGGAACAAATGGAGGTTATAAGCAGAATATATTTATTGAGGGAAAGAAAGCTCCTGTCCAAGAGAGGGACAGGAGGGGGGCCCGAGTGGGTAGTTCCTCAGGAAGCTGTCTCTTCCAGGGACTTCTATAGTGTAAAACCATGTGGGGTAAAGTGGAGAAAGGGAGAACTCGCTTAGGTGGATGTGGGGTGGGACAAGACTATGGTCAACCAATGGGATTGCAAGCATCATTGCTCAGGCAAAGTTGATTATGGCCCAGGACCAAATGGGGAAGCCAGTCACGGAGTAAGCGAGCATGAATATGAGGCAGGGTTTTTTCCTGTTGGGGGCTGGACTAGTGACTCACTTCGGTCTTTCCAGGTGATTGATACTTATTTAGAATATCAATCCTAGGTGTTACTCTTTTAGCATTTATTTGGCCTTTAGGTCTTTAGGTCTGGTTCACAGCAGGAATATCCATTCCTCCCACAGTTGTAAGGTATCTTGTCTTTTGTGCTGTCTCCTTTGAGGGCCTGGCTCTGTCTGACTGTCTATAATATTTCTATCAAACTCAGCTGCCTGTAATACTACCATCCTTTCCTCTCAAAATGGGAGTGAATTTGAAATCAAACATAAACATTTGTTGGGTTTAATTTTGTATCAACTGTATATCAGTATAAACAGTCATTGTCTTTTTAAGTGTTTTTAAATTGCAAGTTGTGGAATAAACAATGAATTTTATCTACTGTTAAATACTCTTAGTAAGAAAATAAGGAGAGGTTGGGGAGACAGCTTGGTGGTCTAAGCACCTGCCTGGCAAACGCAAGAACCTGAGTCTGATTCCTGGTACTACATGCTGTGCCAGCCCTAGAACCCTGGGCGCACCATGCTGGCCACAGAAACCAGACATGGTGGTGCACGCCTATAATTCTAGCACTGGAGAGGTTGAGACAGGAGGATCACTACGAGTCTGAGCTGCATAGTGAAACCCTGCACCAAATAAATAAATAAATAAATTTTTAGAAATTTTAGAAAAAGATAATGAGGAGAAAGATTGTATGTATAGGTTTTAAAGTGGATGGACAGGCAGTTCGACGGGGACGTAGGTAGATAGACAATGTCCAATTACAAAGGGATTGCTTCTTTTTATGCTGCTAAAAAAATGATTTTCTTCTTAGATTACTACCTAGTTTCCACTGAGGAGCACAATAAGCTTTGCAACTCTGCTAGGCACTGAGCAGTTTAGCCGTGAGAGCTGAGGTCTAGTTTCTGGTTGCCTTACGTTCACAGCACATTTGCAAGGAGTCTGCACTTGTCATTCTTCCCATGCATCAGTGAGGCTGCCCTAATAGGCCTGACTCCCTGCTTCTGCTTCACCTTGTTAATCAAGTGCCTGCAGGGACCCCCAACACCTCAGATCTCTTAGAGCCTTTTAATTCCAAAATGTTCCTGCTGAGAAGCAGCCATTCAGCAAATTGTTTTTAAAACAGATATCTGGTTATCTGAGTGAATAAACATAAACAGAAGCCCATAATCTTCAGCTTCTTCATATAAATGTTTAACAAACAGTAATTGTTAAGGGGCTGTCTCAGAAACCTCCAACTAATTATTCTGTAAATATTTGTTCAGCATTGATGAAGAGGGACAAATGGATTTTCTATTAGTAAAAATATATAGCTCAGAATTACTCAGTTATCCTCTCTACATAAATCTCTCATCAGATGTTCAAAGTAAAAGCTATATTTGGGGAAGGGACACACATACATATTCACACATATACACACAATCACATCTGTAGCCTCTATTATGCAGTTTGTCTCTTCATGGGGTTTTGTCAAATTTGACAACGGTGGCATAGTAGAGGGCACAAAAATAATTAAATTAATAGACTCCAGAAAGTTCTAACGTGCTATTAATTATCTTTTTTTTTCTTTTTTCTTGTTTGTTTTATGTATTTAGTACAGGGTCTTACTACACAGATCAGATTAGTAGTGATCTTGTTTTCAGCCTCCCAAGCACCTGGGATTACAGGTGCATGCCACCACACCCAGTCTCAATCACTGTCTCAGTGCTCCCTGGGGGTGGGGCCGACATGGCACAGTATTTTCTTTTGGAATTAGCGGGGGCTGTGCGTGTACATTGCCAAAATATTCAACAGAGGGAAGTCATTTGTAGGGAGGGTGATTTTTTTTCCCTTTAGGGTTCATCTGCTTCTGTGGGCTGGGCCCATTTACCTTTCTTTTCCTTTCCTAGTGATGGAGGAGTTGAGTTGAGAGACAGTAATGATTATTTAGCATGTCTAATAAGTTATTTTCCCTGTATAGTTGCCTGGCAATCTTGACCCATGACCCAGCCCTGACTACATTTCTGTATCATTATGAAAGAGCCAAATCATGTATAAGAGGAACAGATCACATATGTTTTGTCATTATTTTCAGGGCACTGAGGGTATATATAACTTTTTATATGACAGTGGAGTAGCTGAGAGATACTGATGCGGCTATTCTAAGAAAGTGGCATAAAGACTGTATAGGCCTTTTTCTCCTCTAGATGTATATTCTGCACCTGAGGAGCAAAGTGATACTCAAGAGACACAGGCTAAAAATGAAGTTATGAAATCAGGAGTGTGAGGAAGTTGAAATATTACGAAGAAAATAAAATGAGCACCATAGATGTATATGAGAAAGAGAATGAAGGAGCTAGTAGACTATGAGAAAGAGAATAAAGGAGCTAGTGGACTGGGTAAAGTGGAATAGCTCCTCAAATAGGAGACAGAAGTGAAAAAGTTGGTAAGACTGGCTGGTGACATAAATGACCTTCTGATATGGTTACACAAATGGATGGAAAGGGTACAGCTGTGATATGAAAGTCCTAGGAATTGTAGAATAAAGGAAGTTTAGGCCAGGGTTAATTGGTTCATCCCTGTGAATAACTTAAAATAAGGGTATGCTTAGTATGGAGAGAGAAAAACGTGAACCAGGTGTGTTCTTCAGTGTAATGTAAAGGAGTTTTTAGAAGCTTTCTTTGAAAAATATGTAACAGGACTACATGAAATCAGGTTTCCACTGTAGAAAGACTGTTTTGACACTGATGATAAGGCTCAGAACTCAAATGCTATCTTGAAATTTTAACAAAAATCAAACTAAAAGCCCCATTTAAAAAATCACTGATGCACAACTAAAAATGAGACGCTGAGTACTTTTAGCTGATTCTCCCATCATTTTGATACCTAATGGTCTCTTAAATTGCCCAGGTAAATACTACCATTGATGCCATTCATTTCAAGCTTCTGGTCTCTGACAGAACAATGGAAATTTGGAAACTCCTAAGAACAAATGACATGTCAGATACAAATCTGTCCAATAATATGTGTGAAGGAGATTGGAGCTATGATTCAATAATGTTTTGTTTAAAATGTCTAAGTCTTAAGCAAAACTGAATGGTAGTATAATCAAAGAGTACAACCGTCCCTGAGAGGTGAGATTGTGAATGCTCGGCTGAATAATGAATAAAATGATTGATATTTGCAAACAACCAAATAACTCCCCAAACTCCCAGTTTTTGTCACTTTTGTCATTGAAAATTTTATGGCTTTGCTTCTTAAAACTAATTGCGCTTGCAAAAGATAGGTTGGAAGTTTAGATATCCATTGTGAGCTTATGTATTGACATTGTGTCCTTGTGGGAGAGTGATAACTACTTCTTATGCCCAAACCATCAGAGCTTACTCAAAGCGTCTGAGAGCACCTATGAAGCATGCACTGTAGCCTGTCTTTCTTCACACTAAATGTATGCATGGTTTTTCCATCCTAAAGGATTGTGTACTGTATAGCTCACCACTAGCAAATACCACAGCTGGAATGTGAAACAGATAGTAAAAAAGATTTTTTAAAAAAGTGAATGGATGAGGAGAACCTTTTCCCTTGGTAGGAATTTTCATTTGGATACCTGAAAGGATAGTGAGATTTTGTAGTTTGGGGAAAATAAACTTACCTGCATGTATTGAATACCCTGCACATAAAAATAGAATCAGAACAAAAACAAATGTCAGGTATCCAAGACATGCTACTATTGGTCCTGAGTGTTGGAATAAGGTAAAAGAATGACTTCCCTCCCCCATATTTACCTCCAAGACAAGACAAAGTAATCCTCCTTACATATCTTGTTTTACTTTATTGCAGGATATTTGTGAAGATATTTCTGACCATGTTGAGCAAATCCACGCCCTCCTTGAAACAGAGTTTTCTCTCAAACTGCTGTCTTACTCTGTCAATGTGATCGTGGACATCCACACAGTACAGCTCCTCTGGCACCAGCTTCGAGTCTCTGTGTTAGTTCTGAGAGAGCGCATTCTGCAGGGATTGCAGGATGCTAATGGCAACTACACCAGGCAGACTGACATTCTACAAGCTTTCTCTGAAGAGACCAAGGAGGTGAGTGTTTCCTTTGAAGTCAAATTATAACATTTGAGGGTATTTTAAGTTTAGAAATGTATGACAGACATTCTTTGTAGGTAAATAAGTGGAGCTTGACGAAGGCTTTGAATCTAGGTGTAGTGACTGAAGGACCCTTCTGACATGGATGAGGATTAATTAATTAACTCACACTTGGTAGTTTGCACAGACTCTGTCTATAGCTTTCTATAACTAGCCTGATTTCCTCTTAAACCCTCAAATATTTCATACCTGTTTATTGAGCACATCTTATATACAAGCACTAAGTGCTTAGACTATTGCATTAATCAAAACACAGTCATTGCCTTCAAAGAGCTTTAAGAGTAGTTGTAAATGGAAACAAGTGAACAAACATTAAATTCAAACTATGGTAAGTTGAAAGGATGCAGTTGGAGGACAGAAAATGATGTACACAACTCACACAGGAAATCCAGAAGTGAGATACCTGATACCTGCAGGAGAGGCCACTTTCAACAGACAAGTAAGAGTAAAAAAAAGTTCTACACAGAGGGAGTGGCATGACCAGAGACTAAGAGGTAAGAGAGGATGAGTGGTTCATAAGTAGGTTAGGAGTGGGTCAAAAACCTGAGAGACCAGGCAGGATTTGGCCAACAGGTAAGCCAGAGTCAGATTGTGAAAATGAAATCTTCTGAAACCATATTAAGAGAGTTGGACCTTCTTTCAAACACACACACAAAAAATGTGTTTGTTCAAGTGTTGGTCATTAGATTCATGCTTCAGAAAAATAATTTTGAATTCAGTGAATTAAATGAACTTAGAATATTCTACAACTCATTTTTTTGTTGTTGTTATTCTTGGTGAATAATTTCTAAAAGAAGACCGAATTCTAGCACCCTGGGAGGCTGAATTACAAAATCTTTTGCTGTCACAAATTCTCTGCTGGACCTACAAGTCTTTGGGATTCAAAATCTACTTTATTCTCCTGTAACTTTGTAACAGCCTGTTTTCAGTTACTTCTCCTTGTTACTGAGGTAGTGTGGACATGATGCAGCAGTAGAGTAATCATAGGATAAATGAGTTGTATGGCTCTAGACTACACTAATCTCTGTACTATCTACAGCACTTGGTTTGTATTGTTTTTTATAAATCTCTGCGAGGTTGAATTAAATTGAAAAATATGATCACCGTTTTATATGTGTAAAAGGGAGATATCACTTTAGATGGGTGGCCTGAAAATCATAGACATGAAAATTTCATTCATTAAAATGTCATTGTTATAAAACAGAAATTCTTAAGAATGATTAATATAATGTAAATTAAAGCACTAAAAATGTTTGTGAATACTAGCCTAGCAGGGGAGATACCATGATCATGAAGGTGGCTTTCCCAGCGCGAGGCTTATCCATTGCACTCCGGATGTGCTGACCCCTGAGATTTCCCCAAATGTGGGAAACCCGATTGCATAATTTGTGGTAGTGGGGGGCTGTGTTTGCATTGTCCCCTATTTTTTAAAAAAATTGTATACTTTTCCTCCTGTCCATTAGAAAAAATCTTTGCTTCACACTTACCCATCTGTTGTACTTGTTCTTCTCAGTCCACTGCCGCTTTCTGGAATTCATTCAGAATTATGAAATCCTAACATGGTACAGCAGGAAGGAAGCCGAGTCTAGTTTAGTTCATCTGGTTTGAGGACTCTTGGGATACGTGGCATTCTAGTAAGAGGTTTTGCCAGCTTTAATTCCTTATATAAGGAGTTAAAATATAACAAATACCATAGAGTAAGATTTAAAAAGAGAGTTGGAGGACAGAGGTGAATACAATTTTTTTTTAACTATGTCTGTACTTAAAACAAGGAAATTCTAACTCTCATCTCAGTAAGAGCACTAAATTAGAGCACAGAAGTGACTGCTAAGTAGTGATGGGTGCTTAAATACTCTTGGGGCACTTTAAGAAACAGATCTAAAATTATAAGTATTAAATTTTGTGTTCAGTTAATGGCAAAATATAATACAGTGTCAAAAGCAAAGTTTACGGAAGTATTTGAAACTATGTTTCAGTTAATTATGGGTGAAGAACAAAGCAAATTTCTTTCTTCAAATCAGAAAAATGTGCTAGGATGGCTTTCTTGATTCCTGAGACAAGACTGAAGACAGTAATAAAATGAGTAAATTACTCCTCAATAAGGTGAATAAATTTTCTAAAATATAACTTTCATCCAAAAGGCTGTTTCCTAACATTAAATAGAGGTATATTTGAATGCATACTTTCATAGGCAGTAAAACCCATGTGAGTCATCCCTAATTTTGTACCCACTGAGACTTTATTGGGAAAATGATCTAGAAGGAAGCAACAGTATTAAAAATATTAGTATTAGTAACCAATCTTTTAAAGAATACAAGTCTTTATTCATCTGCTGTGTGATCAGAACTTTCTTTTCTTAAAACTGTCTCCACATGATGAAAGCCTGTTGTATCTTGTGTAATTATTTTTATTTAGGAAAGTTTTTTCCACATTAATAAATGAATTATGAATTAAAGATAGGTATCCTTGAGTGGAAATCACTCAACTGAGATAGCTGGCCTACCTGAAAGCAGCAGAGTCAGAGAGGGCTGCTTTTGAAACATGAAATGCTTTTGAATATCATATTTTCTTTTCTAAACAGTGAAGATTTAGGAAAAGCCAACCATACTCTATTTTTTTAGATGTATCTATATGTTCATCTTATATGTATATTCAATATATTCATCTAACATTCATTATTACTATTATTATTGTTTTGTAATACTGGGGATCAAACTCAGGGCCTTGTACATGCTAGGCAAGTGCTACACCATTATGCTACATCTTGGCCCTTTCTAGTTTTATTTTGACTCTTAAGTTGCTCAGGCTGGCCTCAAATTTTTCAATCTTCATACCTCAAGCCCCTGAGTAGCTGGAATTTTAGCATCTAGCATTTTTAATTGAGCACCTATTTTTCCAGGTAGTATGCCTGGTCTTCACCTGCTATGACCACCCAAACAGGGGCTAAATATAACCCTAGTGCCATGGTGTTCCAAATTTGTTGAAAAGCAGGTGGTTGATACTCTCAGGGGTTTGTTACCTCAAACTCCCAAAAATATATTTTTCTCTACTCATCATAGAAACACTTTAGTGCTTCTTTAATATCATATAATTATTGTAGTGCAGTAACTGAAAAAAATAGAAAAATAATGTTGCAAATTTCTACTAGTTGGTAATTTATGTAAGTATTTTGGTATAGTTTGGGCATTTATAATATTATTTTCATTTATAATATTATCTATATAAAAAGCAACTTCTAAGTAATGAAAAACAAAATTTTTAATAATGCAGCCTGCTTTTAAATTAAGAATCTCACTGTTAGTATGGTAAAATTGCACAAAGTACAACTTTTGTTTGGTTGACTCATTCCTTGGTGTTTTGGACTTTGGATTTTGTTTTTTAAAGATTCTAGGTGCAAAACATGAAAGTATCACAATTCCATTTAGAAAATCTGTTAGTACTGATTTCTAACTTTGGCAGAATTTAACATTAGAGATAACTATCCTCTTGGTGAAACTCTCTCCATTTATATACAAAAATAATAATATAATAATGCATAATAAGTAATGAGTGAACGTTTACTGATCATTAGTTTATGTACCAGACTAGTGTCTCATTTGGGTTGTTTCCTTTACCTATCCCCATTCTTAAGACATAGCTTACCATTTCCTTTTACAGATGATGGAAACTACTAATCTATAATGACATAGTTAATTACTGCTAGACTCAGAATTAAACTCCTAAGCTTGAGATTTTAATAATTGGAGTCAACTAAAAGTATCTAACCAGAGGAAGAAATTACGTGAAGGCAAAGAGAGCTCTTCCAAAAAGTCATTCATTCTTTCATTCATTTAACATATAAGATTTTGGTGCTCCATAGACTTGTATGCTAAATGCTGGTAGAACCTAGGTCAGGCAACCATCTTCTGTATGATTTATACTCTCATAGTGTTTACAAATAATGGGAGGAGCAAATTAGTCAGAGAGTCACTACAGCATTTATTCATACTGAGATGTATGCTTATAGGGAAAAGAGCATAGATTTGAGAGCTTACAGTGAAAGAGTCTGACTTAGCTGAGGGTCTGGAAGCTTGAAGAGATGAAAACCTGAGCCAAAATTGTAGCGAGGAAAGCAGAGTTAGATCAGTAAAAAGTAGTATGTGCAAAGTGCACAAGGTAGGAGAGAACGTGTATGTGCAGAAACTGAGAGGAGAACGCTGTGGTTGGATGCAGCCATGGAGGGGAAAGTAGAATGAGAGATTCTTCATGGCTGACCTTGGATTTTTTTTAACCTAACAGTAAGAGGAAGCTAGTAAACAATTTTAAGCAGAGAAGTAATAACATCACATGTTCAATTTTTAATGGTTATTCTGGTAGCAGTGAGCAAAATAAATTGGAGGAAAGGATATTAGTTAAAAATAATACCCAGTTTTTAAGACTTGGGCTTTGGGTCAGATAGCTTTGGTCCAAGGCCTAAATTAGCCCATGGTCATGATGTGATGGGCTACTTGTGTATCTTCTCTTGGTTCAGACTCCTCTTGTTTAAAAAAAGTATAATAGTATAGATTCAAGAAGAAAGTTGCAAGATTCAGTGAAAAAGTAATAATAATGAGCCATCTCAATATAGAGATGAGAAAACCAAGGCTTCCAAAAGTTGAAAGAGGCTTCTCATCATTATTATTTGAATTTCTTAAATGTTTTGGAGTAAGAGTGAGATGAGTGGGAGATAGAGTCAAAGTATAAGTGTAAAGAAAGAGAACATTTTTAAAACAAAACAAATGAATAAAACCCCATGAAAGCTCATAGTGAGAACAGATCTTTGGATAACATGGTTGAAAGAGGCACAGTCCAGGGGTCGGTCAGATGGCTCAGTAGAATAAGCGCTTCCCTGGCAAGCGCAAGGGCCTGAGTTCAATCTCCCGGTTCCGAGGAAAAAAATAAAATAAAATAAAGGAGTGTGGTCCAGTAACTATGTGTGCTGGATTCAGTAGGCTAAATACCATTTCTTCTTTAGCAAAATGATGGTCTGAGGGCCATAAAAACATTTTGCTTTTCTATTTTTTTCTCTCATTTCTTAAGGGGCTGGATTATAGTAGGCTGTTCTTTGACTTGGTAAGCATATTAATATTCCAGAAATCTTTTTACCCCATATCATCAATCTAAAATCTTCCTGTTTGCTGTGTGATATCAGAAAGTATGTTAGAGCATTTGGGGTTAGCTGAGTGTTAGAGCCCTTGCTCATCATGCATAAGGCCCTGGGTTCAATCTCCAGTACTATACCAGAAATAAAGAAATTATATTTAGTGATGGGACAAAGGCCTTTATCACACAATTAAAGGGCAAAAAGTTGAAATACCTACTTGTAATGCTATTTTTAAAATCATAGATGTTTTAAATCAAACTAACCTACTTAGAATTATAAATAATAGAAATTTTGCCACTAGAGTGGAAGGAGGAGATGGGTCTAGATAATAAAGTTTTAGCACTTGTTAACTCTCTGCAGAATCACTTGTGTGTAGTTTGAAAGTATAAGGGCAGACAGAAACTGGTCTCAAATTATTTCTGTGATGTATTTGCAAATTGAGTAGTGAACCTTCTTGTGATTTGTGGATATTCATTTAATGTGATTAGCTTAATACAATTCATTATTCCACTTAAAGTATTTATTGAGCACCTCTAGTGACCTAGACACTGTGATAGGTGCTAAAGGGACAGCAAAACAAAAATAAAAAAAATATATAACCTTTCATGGAGATTTTACTCTTACATGACTTTGTTCTAAGAGATTTTATTGCTTAAGGCTTTATTTCAGAAAGGATTATTAAAGGATGAAAGCCCTTTTAAAAATAGAAAATTAAAGTAAGAATGGGTATTTAGGGTTGAGATTGACTATTAAGGTCTATGTTCCAGATTAAAAAAAAATCTTTAAATGTTCAAGAACAGGCTATTATATATAAAGTAATATGATAATAAGTTAATATGTTTTTCTGTTTGTCAAAATAGAAGCAGTTGAGACTGCTGCTTCTCTAATCTTTATATTGATGTCTACTGAAACTTCATTTGAATGGCAGTTGAGAATAACTGATGTTGCATATACTGATACCACTGCCATTGTGTGTTACAGGGCCGGCTTGATTCTCTAACAGAAGTGGACGACTCAGGACAGTTAACCATCAAATGCTCACAAAATTACTTGTCGCTGGATTGTGGTATTACTGCATTTGAACTGTCTGACTATAGTCCAAGTGAAGATTTGCTTGGTGGCCTGGGTGACATGACCTCTAGCCAGGTCAAAACCAAACCCTTTGACTCCTGGAGCTATAGTGAAATGGAAAAGGAGTTCCCTGAGATTATCCGAAGTGTTGGGTTACTTACAGTGGCTGCTGACCCCATCCCTTCCAACTGCAGTGAAGCAGTCAGTGAGGAGGCATCTCAAGTAGCTCCCTCAGCAGAGGACAAAGGTGGAGATGAGGAAAACAGCACTTCTACAGCCGAAGAACAGGCAGGTTTAACATCAGGGATGTCGTCTTCAGGGGAAGCTGTAGTACATACTGTTCAACCCTCTTCTGAGACTGTGAAGAAAGAATCCAATTCCTATCTACATCTTGATACAAAGAGCCAACAGCCTATTCCTTGTGAAAATATAACTCCCAAGCGATCCATAAGGGATTGCTTTAATTATAATGAGGACTCTCCTACACAGCCCACATTACCAAAAAGAGGTCTTTTCCTTAAAGAGGAAACATTTAGGAATGATCTGAAAGGCAAAGAAGGCAAGAAGCAGATGGTTGATCTTAAGCCTGAGATGAGCAGAAGCACCCCTTCCCTAGTAGACCCTCCTGATCGATCTAAGCTTTGCCTGGCAGTGCAGTCTTCCTACCCCAACAGCCCTTCTGCTGCCAGCCAGTCCTATGAATGTTTATACAAGGTGGGTGTTGCGAATCTTGAAAACATAATAAAAAGTCACATTAAAGAAATCTCTTCTAGTCTGGGAAGGCTTCATGACTGCCATAAAGAGAAACCTCGATTTACAAAGCCACACAAGACCTCAGAAGGGGTACCTCCCTGCAGAATACCCAAACGGGGAACTAGTCCCGGCAAGCAAACTGAAAACACTAAGAGCTCAGTAGTGTTGAATGGAACACCTTCTTCTACTTCCAAGGTCATAGAGGGGCAAGAAACAGATGTTGCTTCTACATCCTCAGTCGAACCATGTAATCAGAGAAGTTGGAATGCCAAATTGCCAATACAATCAGAAACGTCCAGTTCACCACCTTTTACTCAGAGCAGTGAATCCTCTGTTGACTCGGACAACATCATGTCTCCAATACCCCTTCTTGCAAAACACAAAAACAAAAAAGGTGGCTCTTCATCCCCAAGTCACATCACCAAGAATGGCCAGGTTGTGGAGGCCTGGTATGGCTCCGATGAATACTTAGCACTGCCTTCTCACCTTAAGCAGACAGAAGTGTTAGCTTTGAAATTGGAAAATCTAACAAAGCTTCTGCCTCAGAAACCCAAAGCAGAAAGTATTCAGGATATTGATGACTGGGAACTGTCTGAAATGAATTCAGATTCTGAGGTCTATCCAGTGTACCATGTGAAGAAGAAGCAGACAAGGCTAGGCAGAGTGTCTCCCAGCTCATCCAGTGACATAGCCTCTTCCCTGGGGGAGAGCATTGAATCTGGACCCCTGAGTGACATTGTTTCTGATGAGGAATTGTGTATGCCTCACTCTGTCATGAAAAAATATATTGATGAGAAATCAGAGACAGCTTCATCCTCTGAGAAGAATGAGAGCCATTCTGCTGCAAAATCAGCTTTAATTCAGAAATTAATGGAAGACATTCAACACCAAGACAATTATGAAGCCATATGGGAAAAAATAGAGGTAAGGTGGTCTTACCTGAATGATAAGGTGGTTTTATTTGATTTTTGGAAGAAATCCTGGGTCAATTCCTCTTCACCTGTTATTAAATGTATTACTATTTTTGATAAGCCTAAGTGGTTCCTTAAAGAAGAGTGCAGTTATCACTCCATTTTGATATAATGTGCATCACTAGGAACTGCCCTTTTCATTTCATTAGTTTGAAGAATTCCCTGCCTAGTATATCATTCTATGTTGATATTGCTCAAACTTAATAGAGATCCCAATGAATGGTAGATGTCCTAGATGTAACACAAAATAAAATGGGACAATAGCCATACACGCCCAAGTATTTTGGAATGTGTGATTGGAACATTCCAATTGCCTTCAGTGTTTTTTGAGCCATTTATTTTAAGCTCATGGTAGCATCTATATCTCTATTGACTCCCTGTTGAAGTAGACCAAACATTTTTAATTTATTGGAAGTCTTAGTTTTTTCTTTCCTCTGATAGACTTCTTTCTTATAAACGTGCTGTATTTATATACTAGGTAGCACCCATGTTTTGGGGGGTGAGAAATTGGCATTCTTGGTAAATATTTGATTTGAGTGAATTGTTAAATGTGATAATCCCCGAGGATAATCATAAAAATTCTCAGTTTTGAACTCTATAAATTAAGAGAAAAAAATGACCAGAAAGACTAACTCTCTGTAATAAGAGTTCTTTGTCTACAACTTTATTTGGAATAGATATAGTTAATTTAATTTTTGTTAGGCTTTTTATTCAGTGACATACACATGACCACACCTTGTATCATTTGTATAGCACTTTATTATGTGTAAAGATGCACTTTTTTCAGACATGTTCTAAAACTTGATCTTCAAAGCTGTTATATGCAAAGATCTGTTCATACAAGATTAATCTTTTTTCTTGATAGAAACATTGGTTCACTAACCTTCAGTTATTTTTCCCAAGCTAAATTGTTGGCTAGATAGGTAGATAGACAGACCAATGAACAGACAACTTTTCTTGGAAAGTGAAACACAAACCAATATCTTTTAATTCTTAGTCTAATCCTCTTTTGTTTCATCATGTTGCCTCCCTGAAAGAGACAGGAGTATGTATCTTCCTTACTGGCAAACTAAGATAAGGAAGAACAAAGTCTTTAGGACCCATCCAGATTTTTTAAAATTTTAAGCAAAAAAGTAAAAATAATAATAAAACAGTTTCAAAATAGACTAGTAGGAAAGTAACAGTAATTAATACATTGTATATTGTTATATTCACAGTAGTTGTTCATAGTACAAGATATATGCATACAATATTGTCCAAAAAGTATTAGCACAAAATTTTCTTTTCAATAAACTAAGGGAAACTAGCTTTATAACTGCTTTGCATATATATAT